ATTCAAGAACATATTTTGTAAACTATAAACTATAGTCTCAGCACCAATTTTTAGCGCGCCACATTCAAATCGTAACATAATTCTCATCATTGTATCCACATATGCACAGTTCTGTTCAGAGTTTAAGTAACAAAAAAAGATGATAATAAAAATGAAAATAGAAATGAGATTTGACTTTGTTGACATATATTTTGATTTTTAAATGATTGCATCAACACCTTTTGGGTTGCTTCGAACTTTGACCACACATTACAGTGTTTTTATACCTGTAAAACTGAAATTTTCAGTTTGTATCTTAATAAGAAAATGAAAGCGTTTAACTAATGATAAAAGTGGCCGGTAATTATATCATCACACTAATTATTCTACGAACCGAAAAGGGATTCACCTTTGTTCTGAGATAATTAGGAAATACGGCTTTTCCATTGAAAATTAGTCCATTTAACATTAAAGCATGTTCGGGCTATAAGGAAAGAGTATGTGTGGCCCATTTTCTTCTAACGAATTTCTCTGTTATTAAAGTAGAAATATGAATAAAATGGTAGAAATAGCTATAAAAATGATTTCGTTTGAAACGCTTTTAAACTATTAAATAACGATTGATGCAGTTTAAGAGTTTCGCGGAATGGTTTGGTTTCAGATCACAATCCTTAATAATTAGGACTATCGGCACAACAAAGCACACATTATCACACACACACACACACACATGAATACACTCAGATAGTCTGTAACAAAATGGGTTAAATATTAATTATTTGGAATTTCTATTACCAAAGTAATCCAAAAAGATTTAATGTAAAGGTAAACTTTAACATTCCGTCCATGTTGTTACACAGTGCATAAATTCAATTTCACATTTCCCTATTTTAAAATTTATACCGAATTGTAACGCTTATAATTATGAATTTATTTTTAAATGTTTGAAATTAATTTCAGCTGTGAAGAAAACACAAAAAAACACCAATACGTGGATATGTGTTTGAATAGAAATTTAAAATGATATAAATATTAAATATTATTAATAAACGAATGAAATGCGAAAAAATAACGAATTATAAAAACGAGAATAAAAATACCGAAAAATCCATTCAAATTTGTGAAAAAAAAAGGGAAAACAAATGTTTCATTTTTGTGATAACACCACCGAGTATCCAACCAATACCGAACTCCAAAAAAACCTGCGATGGCGAAATCATTCATGTACCGACCGTTTTCCGACCATCTTCGGTTCGGATCGGCTGCTCATCATTACGTACGGCTGACGTTAGTTCGTAACGTTTATTTAGATCTATGTCCGGTCATGTGAAATTCGAAACTTGGGACTAGGTTTGACTAATTGTACCAAAAATGTACTTAATAATGCAACAATATTTAAGTGAATAGATCGGGCTACAGCTATAGCAGTGCTATTTTCACAGCTCCTATTCATAGGTGCTATTTGTGAACAACGCACACGGGCAGCGACTTTATGATACAATTCCGAACGAAATATTCAAAATGTAAATAGAACAATAGACTTATTGATTTTAGTATTTTTTTTTTGCATAAACAAATTAATAGATCTATTGTCCGGAATTGTATCATAAAATCGCTGTCCATATGCGTTGTTCATAAATAGCACCTATGAATAGGGGCTGTGAAAATAGCACTGCTATAGCTGTAGCCCAATCTATTCACCGCAATATTTTGAAATACATTTTTACATTTTTTAAATTTTTGTTTGAGGGTAAAATTTTGGGGCACTTCAATTTTCCGGTCAACTAGCCAAAATAAAATTCAACGATATTTTTTTTATTTTTTATGGTTTATTTATTTTTTCACGATGATCGATACACTTTTGCATTCGCTTGAACCATTTGCCATAAAAGTATTTTCATTCCGCGTGAGACACCTCCAAAACGTGTGTTTTGAACGCATCAACTGCTTCTTCGGGCGTTGAAAATCGTTGACCACGCGGTTTATTCTTCACGTTAGGGAACAAAATGAAATCATTGGGGGCCAAATCAGGACTGTACGGCGGATGACCCATCAATTCTTTTGAGTTGTCAAATATTCAGTTGTTTGATGAGATGTGTGAGAGCTCGCATTATCATGATGAAGAATTATTCTGCGACGGCGATCGTTTTTTCTCAATTCACCAAACACTTTGAGCATGGCACAAATAGTAGTGTACCAATCATAATTGACCGTCCTACGATCCTCTAGTGGAACGGTTGCTACATGTCCACTTATCGCGAAAAAACCGGCGATCATTTGCTTCGAAGTGCTTCTTGCTCGAACAGCTCGTTGGGTTATCTTCACTTTGGAAGACCCATACAGTCGACTGCTGACCCATACAGTCGACCTGTGACGATGTCATAAACGTGTTTTGAAGCACCAATTCACACGAGCCATTTTTTGCGCATCGCTCAATTTATGTGGATTCCAAGGCGAGCAAATCTTTTTCACAGCTAAATGTTCATGCAAAATTGTATGTCTGCTGGTCTTACTAATGCCCAGACAAGCTTCAATCTCACGGTATGTCACATGACGATCTTCCATTATCATGTTTCTGATAGCATCGATGTTTTGTGGAACAACAACTGATTTTGGACGACCTCGTCTTTGAGCGAACCACGGCCACGATTGAATTCATTGTACCAGTTTTCAGAGTGCTGTAGTAGGATGGTGCTTCATCGCCAAAAGTCGAAACAAGTTGATCGATGCACCAACGAAAATTTTCATGAGTTAATTCCATTTTTTTGTCAAGACGCAATTTACGTGTCAGTGTAAACAATACAAATAGCGATCGTATGTACAGATTTACCGGCATTAAAATTGTAATGTTACTAACCATTACATTAACATAAATGTTTGTAATAGCTACTACAATTGTATTAGATATTACTGTAATGCTAAAAATCTGACAATACAATTGTAATAGCATTACAGTAATGCTTCGTTACAATATCAAGGTGTTACCCGTATTGTTGATAATTTTAAATTAATATTGAGACTTTTCAACACAACTTTAAGTTGAAAATATATTTACAATAGATGGCGTTTATGTCTGCTCTAAGCTCATCAGTGAAATTGATTGGATTGATGAGCAATTTCATTGATGAGCTTAGAGCTAGGGGGGAGACACCAAGAATAAATTCCGAATCCACTATATAAATTACTAATCCAGCTATTCCACTAATCCAAAAACACAAATGTGGAATCGAAACTATTTTTCCTATTCCATGCACTGTTTCCGTCAAAAATGTTAATTCTGCTATTCCACACTATTCCACTAATCCATCAATGAACGTCAAAAGAAATGTCAAATGGATTTGAAGTGAAACAATTTTTGCTATTCCATGCACTGTTTCGCTATTCCACGCGAATCCATTCACATACGTTGCTATTTCATTGAAATTTCTCGAATCTTTACACTAAAAGTCTAATCCTATTCCACGTGTTTGCCCCCTAGGCTTAGAGCATTAGAGCGGACACAGACGCCATCTATTGTAAATATATTTTCAACCAAAAGTTGTGTTGAAAAGTCTCAATATTAATGTTAGATTTTTGACATTAGCGGCAGCGTTGAGTAACACATTATTATTGTAACGAAGCATTGCCAGTAAGTTTATAAGAATAGCAATAGCTATTACTGGTAATGCTAAAATCTAACATTACAATTGTAATAGCATTACAGTAATGCTTCGTTACAATTGTAATGTGTTACTGCAAAATGTAAATCTGTAATCGTATGACAAAACGTTTCGGAGACGTTTATGCTAAAAAATGTTAAAATTTACGAATATGACATTGGTTTGCAACATGCAACAGCTCTCGTATGAATATACCAGTGAATATTTGCGAAACATAATCAAATTGCTTAAAAATAAAGTAAGGAAAAAAAAAACAAATTAATTAATTAATTAAATTAATTGAATTAATTTTGAGCAAATCAGATATGTATTATCCACAATGGGAACACAATTTGGGCAAACATTTTTTGAATATTATGAAAATTGTAAATAAGGAAAACTTTCACTATTGACTTTATTCCAATTGTTTAATTCGTTTTATTTCTACAAAAAGTCCATAATGGAATAAGACCGTTCTAGAGACCGTTAAATGCCTATAAATAGTTTTCAGCAGCATTATTGATATATGAGACTCACCTAATGGAAGATTATAAATTACATATTTATAAATGTAATCAAATGCAAAATCAGCAAATTAATTTCCGCCTAATTTTCGAAAAAAAATTTAAACTTCTTCTAATGATTCAGAGAAAACATCTTTGGTTGGTGTGTGTCGTGTGCTTCGTTTTGAAAGAATTGAAACTATCGGAACATGAAACTATCACACATATGCATATATCAAATATGGAGTAGCGGTAAAGTGACATTTACCTGATTTTCAATGCCAATCAACAGATTCAGTGAAGAGAGGAGAAGAAGATAGAGAGAAAAAAACACGACATACACAAAACAAAAAGTTTGTGGGCTTAGAGTGTATGTTTTTTTCCTAATTTATGCATGTAAGTGCGGCCGATGACACGTAAAATAGATGTCAGAGAATTAAAAATGAAATTTTTCTAAAAAAATTTCGCCGCCAGTTTGTTTTGGTGTGTGTCGTGTAGAGATTAGTGTTTTCAATCGAATAACATATTTTTTGTTGTTGTTTTTTGAGAATTGTGTTGTGCACTACATCTGTTTGCTTGCACAACTTTTTCGTCGGCGCGAATCAAATGACATCAGTGAATATATATATTAAATAATGCCCACGTAGGAATTGATTTTATGGAACAATTTTATTTTTTTTATTCACCACAAATTCATATTTAGCACAAAAACTATTGTTCAATTTAACCATTTTCCCATACTCGGGCGTTTTCTATCTAGTTGTTTTTTTAAAAATAAAAACCACCGACTGAAGCAAAAACAAACACGAACAAACATCCATGAAATTATTTATTAAACATAATGTGAATAGGCGAAAGAAAAACATTTTGATTATACTCACTTGCGTAGCAAATTGCGATAAAGAAAAGTCAATAAATCATAGAGGCGAAAAAGACGAAAAATAAACAAATTCACCGAAGTAATAAATCGAGAATTATAGTGTTAGATAGAAATAAGTAAAAATAATATAATGTCAATGGATACATCAAGCGAACGAAATAACGTTGATTGGTCCAGGTAAATATTTTTTATCATTTATTTATAAAAAAAAGAGTGATGTCATCGCATGTATGAATGTGCCATGATAAATGTTCATTTTTTATTGCTTTTTTATGTTTGCAGATATGGTTTAGGTAATGAAGAATCATATAATTACTCGAATCGGGTGCGACCGAGGGGTAATTCGACTGGTTTCGTTGATCTCGGCAATGAATATCAATACGCTTCGGGTGGGCATCAGGCATCGGGTGCGAATGAGATTTTTGCGGAAGTGCAAGGTGACAAACCATGGTGGCGCACCAATTTTTTTATATCACAACCAGTGTTATTTGGCACCTGGGACGGTGTATTCACTTCCGTTGTAATCAATATTTTTGGTGTCATCGTGTGAGTAATTTATTACTAATCGCACACAAAATGCATTCTAACAGTCTATATTTATTGTTTATTTTCCATCTTCTTCTTCTTTGATTATAGATTTTTGCGATCCGGTTTCATTGTGGCGCAAGCGGGTATTTTGAATGGCATTTTGATCATAATTGCCACCGTCAGTTTGGCTCTAATCAGTGTCTTAGCGGCTGTCGGTATTTGTGAACGATGTCGCGTCGAGGTAATTCTATTTTGTTAATAAATTCTTTTCACTTGTTTTGAATGTCATTTTTTTATCGTCATTAATTTTCATGAAAGAGTGGCGGCGTTTACTTTTTAATTGCGCACACACTTGGCTCCCGGTTCGGTGGTTCACTTGGTTTGCTCTATTGTTTCGGTCAGGCTGTTGGATGTGCATTGAATGTGCTAGGTTTGCTTGAATTCATTTCGTAATTGCATAATACAAGATTAAAGGCTGTGTGATATTAACAATACTGTAAAAATTACAGGTTTTGGTGAATCGATGGCCGGTCTTCTTGGTTTCGAAAGTAATTATAAATGGGCAATTCGTGGATTTGCTGCAGGCGCCGTGCTGCTGCTTGGTGTTATCAATGTGGCTGGCGTCAAATGGGTTATTACTTAAAAATTAATATTAAATTATTGAAAATTTGCTGTTCATCCTTTTGATGAATTTTCCATCTTTTCCAATATCATTTGATCTTTAATTTTTCTTTTGTGATTCATCCCACAGGTTATCAAACTGCAATTTATACTTCTGTTAGTTGTATTGTGTGCCGGTCTTAATTTCATGGTGGGCAGTTTTGTTAACGAAGACATTACTAATGGCTTTACTGGTTGGAGTGTGGAGAATTTTCTAAATAATTTATGGTGGTCGGATGAAAAAGATAGCCCTAGTCTCCCTCCTACCATACACTACACTTGGTTTCAAGTGTTTGGTATATTCTTTCCGACAATCACAGGTGTCTTATCCGGTATCAATATGAGTGGTGATCTTCGTGCACCATCTACTGACATTCCAAATGGAACTTTGGCCGCATTTGGCACATCGTGAGTAGTTTTCTTTTTAATCTTAATCAATAAATATCCAATTTTCTCTTGTTTGATGTCGATGATTATTATTAGAACTCAATGAATATAACCAAATTCATATTTTTCTCATTTTATTTAGAACATTTTTATATCTGGTATTTGTATTGTTTCTGGGCGCCACATGTGTTCGAGCCAATTTAAGTACAGATTTTATGATTGCAAAAAAGGTTTCAGCCATTCCATTTTTATTTTTGGCCGGAGTGTATGTATCAAGCATATCAAGTTGTTTGGGTGCAATGTATGGAACGCCAAGGTAATTTTTAAAAATACTATCGCATCCATTCGATGAAAATACAATTAATGTCGTTTTATTTATTATTATTTTTTATCAATAGAGTTCTACAAAATATCGCATTGGAAAATGTGATTCCAGCCATTGGAGTTTTGGGCAAAGGTTATTATTATTTATTGAATCTATAAACGCATTTTATTTTTATCATTTCGTCTATTTTTTCTAAACAATATTGATGTAGGTCGTGGTCCGAACAAAGTACCTCTCTATGCAATGGGTATGTTTTATATTATCTTTTGTTCTGTAGAAAAGAGCTTAATTAATATTCAATGTAAAATCATTTCTCAGGTGTGGTAGCGACTGTGACAATTGCCTTTATTATGGTGGGTGATATAAATTATTTGGCACCCATCGTTACAATGCCCTTCTTGTTGACATATGCATGTATTGATTATTGCTATTTTGCGCTCGCACAAACCTTTGATATTCAAACAAAACGTGAGGAACGATTCCGAATTCAAGCCCAAAGTCCGTCATACGAAAGTCGAAGATATGGTTCTGTTGTGAATGAAAATGATAATGATCTAGATCATTTGTTTCCCGAACGTACACGACATAAGCTTGGAGTGAGTCTTTTATTTTTGAGAAAAACACAAAATACTGTAACCGGTAATGAATTTTCGTTTTTTTTTCTTTCAATAGAATACATCAAATCACAAAGTGCCTTCAGAAAATCAAAATCTTCCAAGCAATTCCGAGTCGACAAATGATATTCAAAACAGCGATGAACAACAAACTTTCAATGATAATGATCGCGTTACATTTCGTGGTGGTAATCAAGACTCCGTCAATACAACAAATGCGCAAATTAATGTTAACAATGAAGATGATGAGCCGATCGCTCAGCCAATTATTCCGATTCACTCGAAAACGAAAAATTGGTACAGTAATTATTGTAATCGTTGGGTATCGTTGTTTGGCGCTATTTTAAAAATTGTTATTATGATGTTTGTTGATGTGTACTATGGAGTCACCTGCATCTTTTTGGTATTTCTTACATGGTTCTATGTGTAAGTAGTTAATTTCTTTAAATTCGTTTTTGTTTTTGTAAACACGTTAAAATTGAACAATTTTCATTTTTTAATGTAGCGGCACGGCGAATCCAGCCGTTAAACCAGGAATCGCATCAGAATTTCGCCTAATTGTTTGGCTGAAAAGTGTTGTTATCCGATGTTTTGGGTTTGTTTCATTTAAATTTTAAATTATGTATTTTAAATTCTTAACGAAATGAGAAATTACAAAATATTTATAGAAAACGAACCAACGAATACGAACAAATTGTGGTGACTCCATCGTGCCCAGGAGTCGACTTACGTTCCGATCAATTGAACGAAGAGAATGAAGATTTTTCGTCGAGACGACGTTACCATCAAACCAGCATCATTCAAGGCCACTATGTGGACGATGTTTGATATATTACTATGATGACATTATCACTTTGTATATTGTGCTAGAATCTTAATTATTTTTCGCAAAACTAAAAACATTGTGTACATTTTTTTTACATATAAATCTATTGTATTGTTAGGGAAACTTTGGAAGCCAAGCTTAATATCAACAAAAAAGTAATTTAAACACAAATCTGAGAATTTTTATTCATAAACAAATTGTACTGGCAAAATAACTATTTATTATATTGATTTTAAAAAAATGTCACTAATCGATCGTAATAATATTGTTGTTTAATCAGATAAAGTAAAAATAAACTGTAACAAAAGTCAAACACATATTTTTTTGTTAATTTTTTTCATTATCATGTTTCTGACAGCATCGATGTTTTGTGGAACAACAACTTATTTTGGACGGCCTCCATGGGGCTCGTCTTTGAGCGAACGACGACCACGATTGAATTCATTGTACCAGCGTTTTACAGTTGAGTAGGATGGGGCTTCATTACCAAAAGTCGAATGGAGTTGATCGATGCACTCTTGTCTTGATAATCCACGTCGAAAGTTGTAATAAATTATTGAACGAAAATTTTCATGAGTTAATTCAATTTTTTTGCTGAGACGCAATTTACATGTCAGTGTAAACAATACAAATAGCGATCGTATGACAAAATGTTCTGGTGACGAACACTAATATGGTCAAGGTTCAATAAATAAAAGACAGCCCTCGTATCAAATATTGTATAATTTGTTCTCTTTTTTGTGAATATCCGCTATAATAATAAAAATAAAAATTTGTTCAAAACTTTTTTTTTCAATTTATCGATTTGAAAATTAATCATTTAAAAAAAATGATAAAAAATCGAAAATAAAATTGCAAGAAATCTTCACTTTCCGTTGCAGAACCATGCAAGTAGTGACCTCTATGTGCTCGTTAATGAAATGTTACTTGTTGTTGTTCTGTCAAAATGTTATTTGCGTCTATTTCCCCAATCCTTTATTTTTATTTATGATACAAACGTCTTGAGACATTCACTTTGAGCATCTCTCATGTCATATCGGAAAATTGAAGTTGCATTTTTCACAGTTGTTGTTATCGCAGGTGAAGGTGGTAATAAAAGTGGATGAAAATAAGTGCGGGTGTAATGGAAAAAATGCAATAAAATTGTATACGCGCGCATATATGGAGAAAAAAACTAACATACTCAATACCAGAAACACTCTCCCTCCGAATGTGAATGGTCGATGCCGGGGAACATTGTCTTTGTGTTTGCATGAAATAAAGTGGCTCAACGACGAACCATTTCAGTTCAATTGGATACAAGCGAAATTCATTTGGTGGGGTGACAAATATCATTCGGGTGCCACTTTAAAGTAAATAAACATTTTTTTTTCTTATCTTAACCATTTCGTTAATGTGATCGTTTTATTTAATACAGCCATACTTTTGTGCATTTCATTTCAGATTGAAGAATGAAAAGCAATTGAAAAAATCATTTGGCAATGTGATACAATATAACATTCTAACTAAGCTGACACTATTCAGAAACTATTTAAGATCATCGGAAAGTATTGAGGTAAAATTTTCATCCGGCATTTCAAATATTGAAATCGGCCATACCAATATTCCGATACCCGTTGAGTTGATTAAGTTTTTGGATCAAAATACATCTCATTCAGTGGAAAAAGTGAAAAAAATTCGCCGACGGTGTCACATATATAACGCACAACAAAAAATCATGGGTGAAATATTGATGGAATACGGTTTAACACTGTACGATCGAGTATTGAGCGAAGGTGAAATAGACAACAAAATAGATGATAAAATATTCTCAATAAATGAGAAGCAATGTGTTGAGATTGAAAATAATATGAATCATTTCAATTTGGACTTGGATCCAAGCAGTCAATCGATGAAGAAATCAATGCATAAAACAAAATTCAAAGTCAAGTCACCGCATAAGAAGATGAACGCAGAGAATGTGCTTGATAAAATGGCATCATCGAAAACAAAACGTTTGTCGAGCAAAAGTCGTAGAATTTCTTCGCCATTAATGAACTATTTAACTGGCCGACCATTGGCTGAAGTTGAAGAAAATGAAGCACGACAAGCAATGGCATCAACATCACCAACTGAAAGTCTCATTGATTTGCTCAGCAACGATCTCAACGGTTTGTATATACCGCGAAATATGAATGATATCGAATTGAAATTGCTGAAAAAAATCGACTGTTTACGCATTCAAGTTTATGATTTGTGCCTAACAAGAGCCGGAACACGTGAAATTCTCTCAAAAAATGCACTGAATGAAACTAGTTTTTCATCGGGCACGTTTACGGTCGATGTTGATTTGGATTCGATTCTAAGCACAAAATCATCGTTTGAGAAAAACAATATGTTTATGAGCAAGGTGACACGAATTTTTTCCAGCTCCATTGAGTCACTTCCACCATGTAAGTTTAACGTACATTAATTCAATATTTTCATTTTGCGACATACTAGGGTATATGTTTTCTATTTGATGTTATTTGTTATTTACAGGTATCGCCTTCAATCGATCGTCAGTGCATAAATTGAATACGTTCTGTATCAAAAGTCGAAGTTCCTATGCAAACGGGATTATTTCGTTGATTATTCGTTATCGTGATATTGAATCGAGTGAATCGCGTACGCTGGGAACAGCTCGAATTCAATTGGCCGATGTGATGCAAGCGACAAATTTAACATTCCACCAACAATGTCCAGTTACAACCACAACCAGTGAAATAATAATTGGACGTTTATCGGTGAATGTTGAACTTGGTTGTCGTGGTTTGCATTTTGGTGCCGATTTCATTGAAGCAATTTCATCAAATGCCATCGATGCAAACATTCATTCAGTATCCAATGAATGTGGTAGTAATTTTGCGTGTTCGGTCAGAGAGTATCCTGTAATGGAGTATTTTGACTCGCATGTCAAAAGTCATGAATGGTCTGATCAACGAATGATTACCAATAAAAATGAATTTGATGATTTCATGTATAAAACATGTGTTTATGATGTTCACGATGATCAAACCGATGACAAATCGAATAGTCAATCAACACCATTGAAAATTGAATCAAACGGTGCGCAACAAACAAATCGTAAAAATACGGAAAATATTACAGACGACGTTTCAAGCAAAGATCTAACACATGGATTGAACAAGATGGAAGAGATGAACGATGACATTGAAAACGAATTGAAGGGACTATTTCATATTGGTCAGATCAATAATTGTAGTGTATCGCAATTAACAAACGAAAGTTTCGTAGTATGTCGACCATTTTGGAGTGAGTCTTCTGTTTTAGTAACGGAGTACTATCAAAATAAAACAAATGAAGAAAATTATCCACTGAATTATTTTGAGGTATAAAATTTCGTGCTCTATTTTGTTGTTACACAAGCTATTTACTAAGGAGATTGCTCTTTTTCAGCTATTTTCTGTGATATGTGATCAAAATTTGTTTGAATCAACAAAACATGGCTTTATGAGCATTGAAGTGTGGCACCGAGATGATAATCATACAAAAACATTGATTGGCTCCGCCAAAGTACCATTGCATCAATTTTTCATTGCATTCAATAACAATATCATGCGAAATCATGTCACACAACAAGAGGTATGAACGAAATGCGAAAAAAATTCAACAAACCAAATTCATGTATTTCTTTAAAATATTATAGCTGCCAGTGATATCAATCGACGGTTGGGTGACGATATCCTCTACCAATTCGCCAATTGACACACCTGTTGGAACGGTGCAAGCAATCTTAGCCGTTGGCACCATAAAACAAATCAATCATTTAAAACGATCGAAAAATTTGGAATCATGTAAAACATTCTTGCGATTGCCACGTGAACAATATCCACTTGTAAATGTGCCACAATCGGTGTGTGAACGCAATCAAGAGAGTAACATAAAGACATCGATTCCACAGTTTAACGATCGTAGTAGTAATTTTGCAGCAATGTTTAGCAATTTCATTGATACATTGGCATCGAGACTGCCGGACAGAAATGCAACTGAAACCGCATCCGCAACAAATGATGCAACTACACAAACACACAATGGCACAAACAATAACATTGCTGAAAATAGTACGGGAAAATATATGCGACCAACGTCTGAACTATTGGATGAATTACAACGAGCATTGTCAATTGCACCGACACCAGCTCAAATGAATGTCATTCCAACCATGCCAGCCAATGAACAAAAAACAATCGAACAAACACAGCAAAATGTACAGCCTGAATCGAAGAGAGAGACAATGTTTCGAATACATTTCGAAATTGAAAGTGCTTTACACTTGCCATCGATTGCGATTAATGTGAATAAAAAGAGCGGAAAACGTAATCGAAATTCAATGAATTCAACGAAGAAGAATTTTACATCGATTGATATTCAACCATGTTCATATGTTACATTTGAAGCATCGGCTTCAGCCACACAAACCACACTGACATCATACGCAACAGGTATTGTGGAGCACAGCTGTAGCCCACAATGGAATAAACATTTCGAGGTTTTTTTACCCATTGACTTTTTATTGAATGTAAGTCTCTTTTTTTGCAACATCAAATTGAAAATTGACTGTATACGTTGTGACATTGATTTCAAAATTTTAGGATGAAAAACGATTTGTGATTCGTGTTTGGCGAAAAATTAGCGACAACACACCGAAAACTCGATTAATACCGAATTCATCGAATGATGTAACAATTGGTTTTGCGTCCGTTGATTTGTCTGTGTTGATGGCAGGACTTCCAACGATTAGCGGATGGTTTAATATCATCGATCATGCCGGATGTATAAATGGTCAAATAAAAGTAAGTAAAACATATTTTATTCATGTTAAGTTATATTGTTATAATTATTGTTATTTTCTATTCGGCAGATTCATATCAAACCAAAGGATGATTTGTCAATTCATCAAAAGCGACCATCACACTCCGATATAAATCCACCCGCTGTAAACGAATCGATGTGTGAACCAAAAAAGATAGATCAAACACCTGTGAATGTAACATCAAATGAGAATCAAGGTGCTGTGGAAGATTCGGCTCTGAGTCGAGCGTTAAAACGAAAATTCACCGAGCTTGAAGAGATCACACAGCGGCTGAAGGCTCGTTTATTTGATGTAACTGGTAATATTCCGGGCAATTCACTTAAAAACTATTATTGATTATTTTCCGATTATTTTTCGATTATTTTAAATTAATTCGATTATTTTCTTTTGTGATTCTCCCCTTAGGTAATATGCCAATTGAAACCGACGATCAATTTGATGGTGATTTACAATTCGAAAGTGATTTGAACACCGTTCCCAATGAAGATGATGACGACTTTGAAGTGTCAAATATTGCCAGTGAAATGAGTTTAGATTGGCTTGAACATTGTCAAAATCATGCATCGTCCAATGCATCCAGCAGTAATTTTCAAGATCAAATGCAACATATTTTCGATGAATTTCTATCACCATCAAGATCCGAAGACAATCAATCTGGGTCGGTCACACACCAAAATCAAATTGGTTCACTGTCAAACATTGATTTTTTGGATAAACAACTAAACGATTGTTTTAATGCAGTATTAAATGATGAACAAATGAACAAGGTTGAAAACGATAATGATTCGGTTCAAAATATTGCCGAAACATTAAAAAAATCTGCAATTAATGACTGACGTGCCGAAATAAACTAGACGATACATTTAAATTAGTTAAGGTTTTAATAAATTTTGACGATTGTACACATAGACTCTCAGACTTGGAAACTAAGGTGTGTGGTAAATTCTCAATTCGAGGAGGGTCATTTTATTTGCATTTAATATTTCGATATGACAATTTATAATTATTAAAACTAAATTGTTTAAACTAAATAATCCAAGTAAAGAAAAAAGTGATGAAATGATTATTTTGCTTTTTCGTTTTATCTGTGTTTTATTCAGGCGATGCTAAGCCCATTTCGAGGTTCCACTTGATCTATGTAGTGCAAATTCTTAGAACCTTTAACAGGGTTATTTGATTTAAGTAGCTCCTGGGGGAGGGGGCAATCAAACCCCTCAATATCATGTCTGAGCATCTACGATTGTACACGTAAAATGAGGTTGTTTGAAGGGTTTTTTGCAATGCATTTTGTTTTCTTAAAATTTGAATTTTGTTCTTATTTACAGAAAAAAAAGAATAATTGATTGAAAAAAATTATAAATAAAATAAACCTCAAGAAAAAAAAAAATTTCATTTTCCATATTATTTCAAAGTCATCAATTTAAATATTGGCGCTTTATATGAAAACATTCGCTTTGTTCTCATAAAACACCGTAACTTTAAATCATTGAGCTCCATAATTTTGAGTGTAGACGCACCCACCCATAGTACTGACGTTTTGTGCTATGATATACATGAAATTATTTGTGTGTATGCACAAAAAATACATATGTCAAAAATAAACTTCGCGCCAAAAATCACTTACGCTCAAAGCGCATCTATAAAGGGCCAAGCGAAGCACATAGACGACACATTCAAATGAATACCATAGCATGAGAAAGTTGAAGAGCAAGAGCGAATAGTTCGGCCAAAAGGCTAAAGTAACCGAATAGAACGAAAACAAAAGGAAAAACTCAAACAGTTAGAATTTGTTAAATCAAAATATGTGTTTTTGAAATAACTGTATATGAATGAACAGCATATTAAATAGTTGCATTGGCTGAAAACATTAACTCAAAAGTACATAAGAAATGTAACTGGTATTTTTTGAGTTTCAAAGTAACTTGATTTGGTGAATAGCCGTTTTTTGTGTTTTATCGCGGTTTTTAACAAAGAAAAAATGTCTAACCAATTACCGTACACAGTGGAATACTCAAATAGCAACAGATCCAGATGTAAAAAATGCTTGGAGATAATTCCAAAGGATTCACTTCGTTTAGCCAAAATGGGTCAAGTGAGTTTTTTGATACTCAATATATTATTGTACACTGCATACGTACAACGTGAATATTCTTATTGTGAGACATATACTTATACTCGTATAAATCGGCGATTTATTCAAATATATTATTTATTTGAACACAGACCGAATTGGTTTTTTTCATTTATTCATTTCTCCTGTATTTTATGCATTTTAGTCGCCTTTTGCTGATAAACAAGATGCGCATTGGTACCACAATGAATGCTTTTTCGAGAGCATTTTAATGGATCCGTTTTTTGCTAATCAGTTAGCAGAGGTTTCAATACGTGGCTTTACAAATTTGCGCTACACCGATCAAGAGAATCTTCGAAAACGGATTAGTAAGTTTTACTGTTTAGTTTAGTGAGCTTAAATGTATCAGTAATTGGATTTTAATTTTCAAAATAGAAAGTAGACAAAACGATGGTGAATCTACAATGAAGAAACAAAAAACAGATTTACAACCAGAAGATAAAGATTTGAACGAAACCATCGAAAAACAGACCAAGGAATACTATGAATTACGCAATAAACTTGATGCTGAAATGAAGAGACCAAATTACATTAACATTTTAGAAGAAAATGACCAATATATTCCCGAAGGGAGAGCTAATGTAAATTTATCACATCACATTTTTTTCTAATGAATCTCACTTTCTTGAAATGATCATTGTGCTCTTAGATTTTGAATCATGTCGCTGATATCATTTATTTTGGTGCAATAAAACCATGTAAAAATTGCAATGCCAATTTCATCTTCGACGGGAATTCCGGTTATTTGTGTCAAGGATACCAATCAGCATGGGCAAAATGCAATCAAATTTTGATTGAACCTGAAAGGCAATCAGTGAAAATTCCAAAAGATATTCAGGAAAAATTTCCATTTTTGGCTAAAGAGTTTCAGATACAACAACGAACAATCTCATCCATTTATACGAGTCCACAATCCGAAAGCGCAAATGCATCGATCTATACTAATGAAATAAAGCTTCAAACGATTATGTTGAAAGGTAAATTTCGTACTTTGTATGTCATACAGTATGATAGAGTTTTAAATTTATTGTTTTGCTTTATTCAAGATCTAAAAAATGTTGATGAAGAGTCCGGATTGATAAATTTTGCACATGTACATTGTGCAGGAGAACTAACATATTCCATTACGTTAACCAAAGTTGATGGATTTAAAAATTCGTATTATAAAATGCAATTGCTTGAATCGGATAGAACACATGAAAACAAGTAAGTTTAATTGGGTTCTCTGTGTTTTTGATTTACACAGTACAGAACTCTTGTAACTGATATATCTATATATATTGTTGTGGCAAATTCATCCATTATCGGGCATATGTTGACGGTCAATATTGGGGTCGGATTTGAGTGTAGTTTCAGTCATTTTCAACGTCGCAATGGAAAGAAAAAAGAGAAAAAATAAACTCAGTTACTAAGTATGAATCAACATCAATATACTATCGGTTCAGTTCAATAAATGATACTCACCTACGGGTTATTTTATATACCGAACTGCCCGTACTTCGGTCAAGGCCACAAAACTCAAGCCCAGCACAGTAACAAAACGTTACAATAATATTATTTAAAAAGAAATCTTAATGCTACATGTAATTAAAACTGGTCGTCATCGGAAACATCGAGAACATAAACGTAGTCCTCATCGTCACTGGAATCCTCATCGTCAGCTGCTTGATTTTGTACGGCAGCATTTTGATTCTGTGGTCTCAATAGTTGGGGATGAATGTCCAATCCCAACACCGTACAAAGACCTAAAAACAAAATCGTAAACAACAAATTGTTAGCCAAAACATTCTTAAACATTTTTAATTTCAGTGATATTTTTTCACCTTTGTACATGATGTTCTTGGCTGCAACGATATCCCGGTGCCAAACAGTTTTCAATTGAAATGGAGCTTGATCATCTTTCCAAATGCCAGTGTTTAGTTGCCAGTTTTTGAAACATACTTGAAGTTTTGACACTAAACCATCTGAATCCATTGGAATATGATCTGGGTTGACTGCATTCAATCGATTAACAAAATCAACTGCATATTTACGCAATTGTTGGTACACTCGGTTGCTTTTCATGGTGCCCAAGTCAGTATAATACACTTTTCGAAGAGTGTACACACTCTTCTCACACTCTTCGTATAGTTTTATTCGACTCCCTTCTCACACTTTTCTCATAAAATAAATTTTTTCACTGATGGATAGTTTTTGATTTTGTTTACTTTTGACATTTTGAAAAAAATGAACGTATACAAAAAAAATGAATTAGCTGTTGCAACAGCAATTGTCGTTCTGTTGTATTTTGACAGAACTGACGAATGCAATAAACGTCAAAAATGTTCAAATATCAAAATACAAACATTACTTCCACTGGAATGCAGTGACAGCAGTGATAGCATTACCAATACCATTACACACTCTCTTCTCACTCAATATACGTGTTTTATGCAAAAGTGTGAGAAGAGTGTGAGAAGGGAGTCGAATAAAACTATACGAAGAGTGTGAGAAGAGCGTGTACACTCTTCGAAAAGTGTATTATACTGACTTGGGTGATAATGACGTTCGGTAAATTCCATTGCGATGACTCATCTTCACTTGGAATACAATGCTGACAAACTTTGTATCGATCGCTTTTGGTTCGTCGATCGAATGGCCGGAAACATTTTGCACAAGTTTGCGATGTATTGTATTCGTCGACCAATCGTACAATACAATTTCCCAACTTCTTAAAACTGTTCAATAGTCGTCGTAATCCCGGGCATCGCAATCGCTTTTTAATACCAATTGGTGAGTTTGGAGCTATTTGAGCTGCACCAATAAAAACGAGCGCCGACTTTTTTTTCGTCAGTGATGCCGCGATTTTGTCACTGGCCCGATTCTCTTCGATGTATTTATCGAGACGGAGTCGAATAAACTTTCTTGTTGTGTACACCGCCATAGCTGGTTTCATCATTTTCACATAATAAGCGATGTAACACATCCAATGTGAACGTCCTTTCGGCGATGGAAAAAATGCATAGCGTTTATAGTCGAGCTCCCGTTGTTTTTGCAACAATTCAGTCCATTGATCGGATTTACGCTTGCGTTTGCCATATTTCGCTTTGAAATGGTATTTTGGACCATCAATTGTGATGTTTTCCTGAGATTTACGAACAAAAAATCATAGAAGTAAACAAATGATAAATAAAGAATGAATTTATTGTTTCTTACCTCGTTGCCGGATCGAACGTGTTTGCGAACTGTGGCGTTCCATGTACGAACTCCTGGATCGATTCCAAGCACATAATCAAACTCAAAATTATTGTACTTCTCTTTGATGGTGTTGTTATCAAGTTCTGGTGTATTGCGTTCAGGCTTCACGAAACATAACGAAACTGCCACACTATCGGTTGCCACAGCAAAATCGAATTCCTTACCATTTCCAAGTTTCGAAATTTTTGGCATGTCAAATATTAAATTCCAATAGAAAGCTGGATTGCTATCGTATTCAGTTTTTTCAATGTTTATTGGCTGACCGCGTTTTCCTTTTGCCAATTTCAATGCTCCAAATTTGCGCGCAATCAAATAAAAAAGATGGATATCGATGCGGATATGTTTCATATCGAAATCGTGGATTGGAACTACTAAAAAATTCTTTATTTTTGGCGGGAGTGGAGTGGTCGGCATGACATTGTTGTTCGGATCGCGTCGATATTGGAACCAGCGTTGTTTCAACATTTCATATTTCGCGTGAAAATCGAAAATTTGTCGCTGAATGTTTATAAATATTGGAATGGTTTGGAACCAGCGATCACGAATGAGATTCTGAAAGTGTACATTGATTGGCAATCCAATGCCTGCTGCTTCGTTTAATAGAAGATCGATGTTCGCGTTTCTCTCGACTCTACTTTGGAACATTACGATCTTCGTCGCACGTTTTACATCCAATTCAGTGATGAGATTTCCTTGTCGATTCAAATTCAGTTCGTAGCGCTTTAGTGTGAAAAATTTCTTGATGCGACTGAATGCCCATACTTTGATGTTATTTTTCACGTTTGTTATGTACTGAGTGATGAGATGATTGAATGCGTTCCCCATGCCCTCGCGAGCTGGCCAATTTTCTGGACGAAGAAAATCAGGACATGCTTGCTCCACAGTTCGTCGAAATGCAAGCGGTAATTTGTGGTAATTTTCTTGTAATACCGAGGTGAAACATTCACCAATTACACCATTCACGTATTTATTGAATTGATCATTCGTGTATTCATCGGATTCACCTTTAAAAAATCGAACATTTTCATCGTCAAAGGCTTTGTTTGCTTTGAACAAAAACAGTAATGACGCCAGAGTCGTAATCATTGTGGCCGAAAGGCACCAGTATGTGACCTGATCGATGAATGGTGCACGATACTCTTCCCGCAGCACTTGATTTAGAGTCATCTTCAACGACGTACTGCGCCCATTCTTGGCTCTCTTTCTTCTCATCGTGACAGATCTATTGTACAAAAATTAAAGAAAAAAATACATCAAATATAGCATAGATCACAAACACAATAAGATATAAACACTTCTATCACAAATTAAATGAAACAGTAATGAAGAGCGCATTATAAATATCACCTCTTACCTCAACAAAGTGACTCTGTATTCTAAATCGAATGATGAAATTTATTTCCAACGTGACATCAAATATTTTGCCGATCGAAATGTTGTTGGAATATTCACAGTTAATTTTATCAACACTCTGTTATTTCGAAATTAAAACAAAGACAGTCACAAAACCAACTGTGAATATATCCATTCCACAGGGAACAGCATTCTGAACACACAAAATCGTTTTTGAAATGACAATAAAACCAATTGATCGCCCAAACCACGCTTCAAACACTCTCATATAATTCTCAAGAAATCCTGTTGAAAACAAAACAAAATTTTATTGTAAACAAAATCGGTTGGTGCAAAAGTTGTTTATACTAACTACTGGATTTGGTTTGACACATATACACCGCGCGGATAGAAAAATGTCAGAAAGATGTCAGTTGCATTTCGAAAATTCAAAATAATAATTCCACAAATAAAAAAAAATAAATGCATTAAATGACGTATAAAAGAGTTCTCCTGCAGAGTTTTATTTATTTCTTTTCGAATAAATTGTTTATTTTTTAATTTGAGCGTAAGATTTGTATTTTCAATATAAAACTTAATGTGTTGGGTTGTGTTCACATTATGTTGTCAAATGAAATATTATTGGAAGTGAAAGAAACAAGTGGATCCATTCCATTGGAATTCGTGGAAACTATGCATATAATCTCCGTTCCATTTGACACGAAAATGACCACCAGAATGGGCCAAAACGTTACATTTTTCAACGTTAGAATGTACTAAAAACATTACAAATTTGTTTGCTGGGATAACTTATATAATATAAGTTTTTTTTGGAAGTATACAAAAAAAAGATGGTATGGCAATTTTTGCGTAAAAACTCGATATATATACATGGTTCCGCTAAGGGTATTGATTTTTAAGATCCAAATGAGTATTTTGACAGTATTCACTTAAGATTCACCCCTAAGCGGCAAGTAAAGTGCTTAAATTGTTGCTGTCAGGTTTAGAGCAAATCAATACGAACGGAATTATCAATGACTTGAAAACGCAATACATTCCGTATACACAATTATGTTCAACACAAACTCTAACAAACTCTACTCATGCCATTTTAATAAAGACGTGGTAAATATGAAACTATTGAATACAATCAGAGTCATTTACCACAGCATCATAAAATGGCAAGCATATAAATCCAATCGTCAATATGGAGCCCGCAGCTGTTATCGCTTTGCTCTGTGCTGAAAACCATAGAACAAAATAAAGCACGGAAATAACAAACATTTGAATGCTACAATTGCATGACGCAAAGCAAATGATGAACACTGACCGTTTCATGCAAAATATGAACAAGTGCGAGAAAAAGTACGAAATAAAGCAAAAAATATAAAGATACAATCTCCCGTGTCTAGTTTGTCGGCGCAAACCAGTAAGTCAGGCACATAGAGGTATCACTATCGCAACACATAATACTTGTGCACACAAATATTCTACACCGTTCAACACAAATTTTATCAAAAATGCATCCATTGAAATTCTCATCAATAACTCGCCGGTCTGCAGATTGAATGTAAAATTTGCTCATCACTAGGAAATTTCAAATTTTAGCTTAATACGAGAAATTGATCTCTTGTAACTTCTAAAGGTTTACAACTTTCATCATTTTAACTCACACTTCCTAAATGTTTCTATATATATATACCAACCAAAATTTTCATGAATAAACATTACATTATATTCAAAATTAACAGTGAATCCTTTTAGTTTTCAAATAAGCGTACACAGCAGAAGACAAGTGATGAAATAATAATCGAATTGTCGAAACGTTAAACCATTTATATCCAAATAATTTTAACTAAAATTAATCGAGTTCATTTTCATCAGTTATTGGGTGTTTAGATCATGGGGTCGTATAGGTGAAAAAGGAAATAATATAAAAAACGAATTCAGCTCACTGGGAGACGCTCAGCATTTCTTTGAAACACACTATTTAGATAAAACGGGCAATTGTTTTGGTAGCGATGAGTTTGTCAAATACCCGGGAAAATACTATAAAATGGATATTAAATATGATGAAGATGAACAACAGAAGATAATTGAGAAAAAGCAACTGGTCAAGTCAAATTTAAAAAAGTCAGTTCAAGATCTTATTGAACTTATTTTCGATGAGGATATGTTGAATCAAACTATGCTAGAATTTAAATTGGACATACAACGAATGCCACTTGGCAAAATAAGTCCGAAGCAAATTCATGATGCAATGACGATTCTTAAAGATATCTCCGAATTAATTGAAAAGAATGCTTCTCGGAGCGAACTTTGCGAGAAATCGAATCAATTCTACAGTCTAATTCCACATGATTTCGGTGTTAAACGTGTGCCAGACATTGATACATCTGAGATGGTTGCAATGAAAGTTGAAATGCTCGAAACACTATCGCAAATTGCTGTATCATACACATTTTCGAATAAAAATCTCAGTGAAAATAAGAACATATTGGACAGTTGTTATGAACAATTAAACGCCCACATTAACCCGATTGAGAAACATTCAGAAGATTATAATTTGATTATAACGTATGCCAAGAACACACATTCTGCGATTCATGATGAATACTTTTTGGATATTGAGGATATATTCACAGTTTCACGTGAAGGAGAAATTAAACGCTACGAAACGTTCCGAAAACTTCATAATAAGTAAGTTGTATCTTTTAGGTGAACAAACTGTATCCAAATTTAATTTTGATTACGTTTTTTATTTCATTTAATAGAAAATTGCTGTGGCATGGTTCAAAACTTGCGAATTTCGTGGGAATTTTGAGCAAAGGTTTGAAAATTGCACCACGGGAAGTGCCGAGAAATGGAAGCATGTTTGGTAATGGTATCTATTTTACTGATACTGTGTCAAAAGCAGCCAATTATAGTAGAGCACAATGTAAAAACGATGTTGGTCTAATGTTGCTATGCGAAGTTGCACTGGGTGATTCGATGGAATGTTTTGACGGGAATAATGTTACCAAAGACGGACAAAAGCTGCCAAAGGGTTTTCATTCCATTAAAGGTGTTGGCAAAGGATTTCCCAATCCAAAAGAAGGGCGCCTTATTTACGAGGATGTAGAAGCACCTGTAGGTGAAATGGTTGAAAATGCCAGCATCAAATCAGCACTTCTGCACAATGAATACGTTGTTTATGATGAGGCTCAAGTCAAAATAAAATATCTTATCAAAACAAAATTTAACTATTCACGAAAATGATATTCATAAGTATGCAATATTAAATGATGATTAAATGAATAAATTTGAAAATGAAATTAATTCGGTTAATTTGATTATACACGTATTAATAAAGAGCTATTTGTATTTTTTGTTTTGTCAAAAAAAAAATCAAAATTTTGTTTTTATTTACAGAAGAAATAAATTTAAATAAAAAATTGAATTGATTGGAAGAAAAGCACGATTAATAAAATGGATTTCAAGAAAAAGAGAATAAGTTTCAATTTCCATCTTGTTTCATACGTATCGTTAAATCATCTCTAAAATAAAATAGTTTGACAGTTCTGTCATATCAAAATACATAATAACAGTGCACAAACGAAGTGTTGGCGGCAATTCGCCAGAGAAACTTTTGCATATTTTGACCAAAACAAAAAACCATTTATTTTCTATTGATTGTCCGAAGTAATTTTGTTCATTGATCATTTGACTGAATAATGGCATTGCAAGAAGCGCCAGTTGCAATTGATGTCACGGTATACATTTTTTATTTATCGACTTTACTGCATTTTTTTTTTGCGTCACCGATTTAGGTTATGTCCATGCAACAAAAATGTTTGTATCATTGTCTCAAAATGTTTTTTTTTTTTATTTATATGCTCTCGACTAGGACATCCAATTTAAAGTTCACAGCAAATATCAACTATTCAATGTGAATGCAAGCACACCAAATTACAATGGCATTGATTTATTGGCAGCGGCCAGTAACTTTGGTCTGGTTATCGTTGGAAGACCAACAGCGCAAGAAATACAAGGTTTAACGTAGACTCAATTTGTTTTTTCGTTCATCTCAACTAAATCGATTCGTTATATTTTAATTCCATTCAGTTCTCCGATTGAAAGATGTCACTGAGAACAAAGAATCTCCAACGATTCCTACACGAATCATAAACCTACCTGGTGAACCGTATATGTTGGCTGTTAGCTGTGATCACAGTATGCTTTCAGTGTGCTATACAGTTAATGGGACCACATTTATCGACATATATGCAGTGCAATCATTTTTGTCGACGGTATGTTTGTTGTTGAAATAAAAAAAAATCCGTTCAAATGCTCACCAATAAATGAATTTGTAGAATGTTCAATGTATACTGTCAAAAATTATGGTATCAAATGCGAACAGCGTAAAAGTGAATCAGATCTTGTGGAATCCAGTCATTGCGAACACAATGGCCCTTTGTCTTAGCGACGGGACGCTCACATCATATCTCATTAAAGCGAATAGCTTTGAATTCAATGCATTAGATAAAGCAGAAAATGCACGGTATGTTATTCAATTAATTTTGTTGTCGAATTTAATTCAATTTTCAAAGCGTTTAATGCATAAAATGGTATATGTTTCAGTTGTGCTTGTTGGAGCCCAAAAGGAAAGCAGATTGTTGTCGCTTTTCCAAATGGAAAATTGGCACAATACAAACCCGATTTGAAGCTAGCAAAAGCAATACCATGTGCAACACAAATTTTTGCGGGACCATTTTATCCAATTGCTATACAATGGCTTTCGACATATCAATTCGCTGTGGTGTTTGTCGAGAACAAAGAAGAAGCAAACCAATGTAAATATAATCAATGAATGCTCACATAATGAAAACGAATGACTGTTTTTTTTTTTAAATTTTTCTAGCATTATTCATAATTAACACGTCAAAAACGGCGCCACCGACTTATATCAACTACTATGACATTACGTTCAGTCAGACAGGGCCAAGAGCACCACAAGTTTTTCTTGTTCATATTTTACAATGGTAAATAAATTTAATTCTGTGGCATTTTTTGGGTTTCTGTTTTACATTGAAAATATACATTTTTTCGAAAATTGACAGGAATATTTTGTTAATGGCCTCATCAAATGGAACTGAAATTGGAATTTTGGGCACGACCGAATCAGGAGAGAATCCACTTTGGAAACAATATACATTTGTGAGTATTTTCTTATTTATATCAAGTTGACAGTGTCTGATTTTCTGTTTAAATTGTCAATTTTTTTTGTAAATGTATTTGTGATGTCAGCGACAACTGTTTAAAAATCGGATACTTTTTTTTATACAATTAGATTGACGAAGGCCGTGCTGAACTTCCATTGACAGCAGATAAACAAGATACATTCCCAATTGGGTTGGCATTAGACACTGGTTGCACACATCAGCTGACTATTGGTGAAAATCTAATTCCCGTCATGCCAATGCTACACATTCTATCCACACATGGATTCATCTTATCCTTTGATATGTTAAATTTTCAACCGACCCGAGTCGATATTTGTTCACCACCCCAAAATATATCGGATCAATCTGGATTAGGATTTTTCAAACAAAATGCAACTGCTGGAGCGGCTCAAAAAATAATGACAACTCCACCATCACAACAACCAAATGCTGCTAGAACATCATCGTCAAATGATTTTCATGTGAATAATCTAACGTTTGCCATACCAGAAACGGGTGCAACTTCAACGCCAGCAAAACAACCACAATCCATGCAAACAAAACCAACATTTGGCTTACAAACGACCGAAGCTCAGCAGCCGAAGCCAGCGATGTCTAGTCTATTCGGTGCAAAGCAAACAATTGGTTTTGGATCAAGTGGTTTGGGTGGTCCGAAAGAACTGCCAAAACCTTTTGGCCAACCAACAATGCAGCCAGCACCAACACCAGCATCCGCATCGCCATCGGTTATTCCACAAAATAGTGCGGTAAAAGTGTCATCAGAAGCAAGCAAACCATTTTTAACGGTTCAATCGACCTACAAACCAGTACCACAGGCTGCAAAGTAAGTTTTCTTTTCATTTTTGTATTATCGATATGATACAGCATGAATTTCATTGCAGAAATCCTACATCGAGCATTGTATCAAATTCAGAAAATGACGCACTTTTACGAAAGCTTATTAAAGAAGAGATCGAAGCGTTTGACACTGAAATTCGTGCTGCGCTTAATCGCTCGAAAAATGTTCAAATCAATATTTGCGGCAAAGAAGAACTCAGCAAATTGATAAAAAATATCGATGAAATGCAAGAGATCACCACACAAGCCACAGAAAGTACCGAATCAATTAAGGTTGACGTAAATTCATTGCGATTGACATTGTATGAAATGCATGCAATGATGGCAGAAGCACAGAGCAAAATTGAAGAATTCAATAAGATTGGGTATGAAATTCTGAAAAATATTTAATTATGGATGGAATTTAAATCGTTAACTTTCTTTGATAGAAAAACAAGTGATGGAAATTTAGCAGCAAATCAAACACATCGTAGACTTATCAATAAGCTACAAAATCAATTGGCACAAAATCAAGCAAGATTTGATGTATTCAGTAAGCAACTCGATGCCAACTGGTCAGCACATTTGCAAAATCAACGCGAAAATGATAAGTATGTTTTGAAATTTGCCACCGTCCATGCCCGATTCCATTCAAATCATTTCAATATTTTAGGGCAAGAATGCGCATACCAACACTTGAAAATGTTTACCAAACGTTGGAACAACAGCATCAGATACTGATGAAAGAAAAAGCCAAGATCAGTAAGATCAAATCGAAGATTGGCGGTCGTGATTCTTCTCCAAGTAAAATTAAATATTCGTATTCAAAAACTGACAATCTGTAAGTTGAAAAAAAAAACGATTCATTCTTTCGTCATTTTAAAGATGGAACGTGAATTATAAAACTCCATTGCCACTTTATTTTCAGGAAAATGAATTCTCTTGTCGATTCGGTGCTATCGTTAACGATTAGCGATCAAATCAGAAGTGAGCAAAAACCATTGAACGCCTCCAAATTGGATGCATTGCGTAAAGCAACACTATCCAGTCGAAAGATTAATGTCATTAAACCTTCACGACCAGATCGACAGGGAATAAATTCCGAGATAATAATCGAGAAAAAGCTGGCTCACGGTAAATTGAAAAGAGAAATGTTTGATACTTTGAATATACTAAATAATAATATATGTCTCTTAGCCAAAGCTCAAAAGGAGAAGGAGAATTTGAAAAAAGCCGAACTTGAAGCTGAACGTGCACGCCAAGAAGAATTGACAAAGCAAAAGGATTTGGCCAAGCCGAAACCATTATTGCCAACACCCACAACACAACCGGTGGCCGCAGCGGCTGCAGCAGCTGCAGCACCATTTTTGTCAAAACCAAAAGAAGTTATTGACAAGCAACCGCTAACGGTGACACCGGCATTGCCATCGTCGACAGGTTCATCGTTGTTTGGTTCAAAACAGTTGTTCGGCTCATCTCAAATTGGCACGACTACAGTACCTGCAAAAAGTTTCGATACCAAGTCAATTTTCAGTAGTGATCAACCAAAATCGCAGCTATCGTTTGGCATTAGTGCGGAAAAACCACCAGCACAAAAATCCGAACCAACAACAAACCAAAGTACAGGTTTGAGTAAAACTGTTTCATTCAATACGGCCGCAACGGCTCCAAGTGGATTTGCGTTTGGGACAAAGCCAGAACCAACAGAAACTGTGCCCAGTTCAACAAAATCGACTGGATTCTCATTTGGCGCCAGTACACCACAGGCCTTTGGTTCAATGTCTCAAATGAAATCGGACGGTTCAATGCCATCTGTTTCAGTGAGCCAGCCAAAGCCCGCATTATTACAAACACCAACCTCGACGAACAAAGAACCAACACTACTTAGAAATGCACCAATTATTGCAACCGGCGTGAATATTTCACCAAAACAAACAACAAAAACACCTTTATTGGCAACACCGCCAAATATTCAACCGCAACAAACAAACGTTCAATCAACAGTGACAACAACTTCAAGCCCATTCAAATTTAACATGGGCAATACGTTTGCTGCAACTACGACACCCGATAAATCGAAATCAGACAAAGAAAATGCACCGATTGCTGTAAGCGTTACTTCAGCACCGAACACAAGTTCAATTGGAAACTTTTCATTTTTATCTGGACTCTCAAGCACATCAACACCACCGACAAAATCAAACACACCATCGACCGTATCAACAGTACAAGCAGCCAATGTTTCATCGCCAATTTCAGTGGCATCAAATCCAACTGTGGTATCATCAACACCAAGTTCGATCGGATTCAGTTTTGCCAAAGCAAGCACTGAACCATCAATATTTGGTGGCACTCAAACAGGCGCAACAACAACGACAACAAGCACAGTAGCAACTACTGCTGCCAATGTGATTACTAGTTCATCGGATGTTGGCTCAATTTTCAAAGGATTTAACATTTGCAAACCAAATGTGGTGGACACGTCAAATGGTAAGTGACCGAAAAGAGACAAAATCGCATGGGTTCAATTTCTTTAATTCTTTTCAGCTGGAAAGAGCCCATTCGGCGGTAATGAAACAAAATGGTCGTTAAGCGGACTTAGCGGAGGTGATGCATCTTCACCAACGACTACAAGTGCCTCTGTTTTTGGATCGATTGCACAATCACCGTCAACATCGGCTCAGGCCAGCCCATTTGTCGGTAAATCAATCACAACCAGGTTAGTGTCAGTTTTTTTAAGTGATTAAGTTTGTGCCAAAGAAATGTACCATAACGAGAGAAAAAAACCTTTGAATTTTTAGTGCAAGTACATTACCAACAACTAGTACTACAACGAGTATATTTGGTGCAAAGTCACCCGATACAACGCCATCTCAGCCAGCCGCTGGTACAAATGTGTTTGGCGCGAAATCGGTTGAAAGTGCATCGGTATCATTTGGTGGTTTTGGAATATCCTCGACTCCACCATCATCAGCAGCTAGCCCATCTGCTGCATCGGCCGGAAATCTATTTGGTTCCGTTCCTGCACCAACGTCAGCTGGAAATATCTTTGGCGGCGCCATTGGTAGCAGCAATACCAGTACAGCATCAATCTTTGGCGGATCAACACCAACCTCACCACAAGCTGGATTCGGTTCGTCTGTCTTCAGCAATGCAAACACCACCACCAATATATTTGGCGGTGCTGCAAGTAAGAAATTTCTATACTAAAAGAGGTTTTGAGACTTTTAACATTAAATTTTCAATATTCCGTAGGTACTTCATCATCAACATCTGCTTCAATGTTCGGCGGTACGGCAACAAATCCTTC